ATGTTAAAGGCAGCTTATTTAATCTGATCTGCAGTGGACTAGAGGAACAAACACAACTAAATCACTGTACTTCCCCAGAAGCGTCATGTCTTGTTAATGCACACATTTCAGTATACTCAGTGCATTTGCAAGTTCGAGACTGCATTAGCTTTGGCACCGCAATGGAAACACCACCTTGACTAAGGAATACAACTTACATTAAAGAGCAAGTCTCTATTTTTTTACCCCTTGCCAAAACCAACATCAACTCCATTTGCAAGCACTCAAATTCCAAAAGCTCAAAAGATTCTGCAATCATTTGCTGAACATTTGGTGCCAAGACGCAGGCAGCCCTGCTCCCTCAGCTGCATCCTACCAGCAAAAAGGAAGAGGGATAATGCAAACAAGGTGTTGTGTCAGCACAACAAATCAGAACAGAAAATCTCCACTTGTAGAGTACTGCCAAGTGCATTGGGCTTGATTCTTTTTTAAACTTACTAAATATCCAGGTTATGCAAGTTTTAATTCTGATGGCTAGCTTGTTTTAGTTCTTCAGAAAAAATGTACATCTTAAATATGGCAAGTTTCAACCTTGAGGCAACATTCAAGTTCCAGGTAACAGAGCTCCTAAAAAAAAATATTATGCAATTTTGCCCATAAGGGAGCACAACAGACAAAGCATTCATGCTACTTATTTTCAGTATCTACGTGTCAGTTTTGTTATATTCTTCTACTACACAGGTTTAACACACTTCTAATTTGTTAATTCAATAGCTTTAATGAATGCATGCTTATTTCTGGGAACACGGAAGCTTCAAATGGAAACATTACACCAACAGCTAGAATACCTCCTAGAAATCCCCTACTACTCTTTCCATTTCTACTCAAACATGGAAATAATAGGAACAAGGTAAACAGGGCATTGCACATTTTATTTAGGTGGTTTTTTCATACTCTGAAGTCCACATTTCATAGATAGAAATCTGTAGATATTAGGTGACTACTTTGGAGTTTGCTTAGATAAATTAAATAGATCTGAAAGCACAAGATACTGAAGAAGAAGCAATGGACTAACAGCACCTATTGGTAAACCAACAATCCACAAGTTCAGAATAAAAAAAGAACTTTAAATTTAGAGAAGCACAGGAATAACCAGGAACCCACTCTCAGGAAAACAAAAGATCAGAAGCCTCCAGACTTCTTTTTCTAGCAAGTTTGACATAAGAACAAAAGTGGGATTACATTCAGGCCAAATTAGGTAAGTGAGTGAAAAGAGAGAAGAAAAGGCTTTTGAGGTCTTGCTGGAAAATTTTAAATAAATAGGTGTCACTATTATCGCAGGAGACATGAAGTTCGATCTGTTGTTGGCTGCTGCATTCAACGAAGGGCAAAACAAGAAGCTTAAGTAACTTTTAACTGCTCACGCCTTTAAAACATGCAGATTATATTTGAAACTATAATAACTACGGAGTATGTAACAGATCAGAATACACACCCGGTATCTCCCAATCCATGAAGAAAAATGACCTGAGGGAAACAAAAGCAAAAATAACCAAACGTAGCGGTTTCAGATCACTAACCACCCGAACGCACCTCGCCCTCGAGCCACAGACGCCCACACAAGGTCAGAGGCAGTTCGCAGCTCGGCACCACTTTCTCAGACGACAAAACTCCGCTCCGCTCCCTTCCCCTCTCCTCCCCGGCCCCGCGCGGCCATCTGCGGCCACCCCCGCCCGGGCACCGCTGACCTTCCAGGTGCCGGGCCCGGCCCGCCTCGGGCGGGGAAGTACCGGGAGAGCCCCCTCAGCCCGCCCGGGCCACCCGCCCGCCATACCCCGCGGGCCCGGCCCGGGGCCCCGCAGCACAAAGCGGGGCGGGGGCGGCCCCTCCCGCGGCTCCCGCCCCCCGCCCGCACTCACGGCGGCCGTGGCCTTCCTGGCGGCCGGCACGATGGCGGGCAGCGGCGCCGACATGTTGTTGCCGCACATACACCGGGCTGCGAGGCGGCCGCGGGACACGGGCCAGCGGCGGGAGGCGGCGCGGGAGGGCGGCGGAGGCGCGGTGGGAGGAGCGCGGCGGGGCGGTTTGGTGCTGGGCTGTAACGCCCGCAGGGGGGGGTGGTGGTGAGAGAGGGAAATTACGGTGTTCTTATACAGGTAAAACGTAAAAAAGAAGTCGCGGGAAGGCAGGAGAACCGGTACAAAGGCAGCGGACAGCAGCACTGTTAGACGGGACTCATTTCGTCGGATCAGATGCCTTCACCACCAAATCAGATCTCTTGTCTTACAGCCGAGGACTCACTGATTCTTCCTCATCTTGAAATGTATTAGGCTATTCAGGCACTCTGATTGAAATTACTGGATCGTTCCAGTCCATTCCAAATACTTAGATCAACTCTGAATATGTTTGGGAAACACATTTCTGTCAAAACGAAATGCTTTGTTCTTTGTCTACTATTCCATACATCTTTGTCAGATACTTACTTCCAGAAAGTCAATCTACTCATTGTATTTGCCGGGTGGTATCTGGCTGGCATGGATGCTTTGTTGGCAGCTCCAGCAGCAGCTGAATGCACACTGTGGTTCTTTCACATCCTTCACAGTGGCGGGTTCCATACCAGACAGGGATGATTTTTCACAAAGCTTTTGCTCAACAACGTTACCAGCACAGCTGCATAAAACATATTGGTGAAGCCTTTGTGCCAACTGTGTAACATTAAACATGCATCCTCTTTTGCCACGATTGTTAGGCTGTTTCGATACAATATTGACGCTAGGGCATCCTTGTTTTTGCTGAAATTGGATTATTTTCATAGGTAACTTTTTGTGTTTTGATTTGTGTCTGCGTTAGTGTGTGCTCTTGCCTGATGTACTCTACCCAGTTCAAGTCTGTTAAGAAAATACAGTTTATGCATAAAAAAAAATCTATGGGAGCTTCACATTATGTCAGCTGCTTATTAAGTATGCTGAACCTGATTCCTACTGTAGATCATCCTTTTGGGACATGAACAAAATTTTGCTTTCCCTCTGTACTCTGCTATTTACTATGTAAAGGTCACTTCCATAAGGTGAGCTACTGCTGAACCTCCAGCCTAAGAAGTCAATAGTCTGCTCACAAATAGAACAAGCTTTTAATATGTTAGTCAGTATAGCTGGAATGATCTTACTTGAGTTCCCGATTGCTGCTAGTATGGCTCGGGGCCACTGGAGAAATGTGAGCTGTCTGTGGATTGGGCACAAGCAAGTCAGTCACACTCATCGGGATTGCCTGTGCAGGCATGGGGGCAGTCTGCTGGTTACGGGCAAGTGTTTGAGAAACTGACCATCTGGAATCTGGAAGGAATTGCTGAAAACATCTGAACTTTGAACTTTTCAAAGACTGGTAAGTTGTTTGTCTCTTTAAAATGAGATATCTATCACAGGAATGATATTTTCTATCTTATTTCAAGTCTCTGTTTAAAGCAGTGAGAGCTTTACAAGGCAAAGCATGCTGTAAACTATGTATTTCTCCCTATCCTAAAGGCTAAAATGAGCATAGATAAGATAGTTGTCCATACCAGTATCTTGATTACTATTACACTGTAATTTTTATTAATTTTTTTTTAAGGGAGCAAGAAGCTACAGATTTCATACTGAATTCTGCAACTCACAGAATTCTGCAACATAACTCACAGAAACTCACAGAATTCTGCAACATAATTTCCATTTTTATCCCCATTTACTCCCAGGACTGGCAGAGCTGCTGCATGACCTCTTGTCCAATCTGAAGCAGACATTCAATATGGAAGAAGGTATTGGCCAAACAGAAGTTTCAAGATGGAAAGCAGGGTATTACACTGAGGAATATTGTCTGACTTTCACAATGGGAAGTGGCCTTTCTGCTCTGCATCTCCTCAGCAGCAGCTTCTACAATTCAGTTCTTCACTCCAGCAAGCCTGCACCCTGTACACCCTTCCCATCAGACCAGTATACTGTTGGAAACTGTTTTGTGGCTTTCCAGTAGGTCTGCTTTTAAATTTAAAATATTGAAATAATACATGGGATCGAGTACTGCAGCAGTACTAGGAAAGTCTCTGTCTTGGACAGCTGGTCTTGGCTGGGGTAGAGTTAATTTTCTTCGCAGTGGCTGGTATGGGGCTATGTTTTGGATTTGTGCTGAACACAGGTTGATAATATAGGGATGTTTTTGTTATTGTTGAGCAGGGCTTGCACAGAGCCAAGGCCTTTTCTGCTTTTTGTGCTACCACACTGGTGAGGAGGATGGGGGCACATGGGGAGTTGGGAGGAGACACAGCTGGGACAGCTACCTCTAACTGACCAAAGGGATATTCCAGACCATATGACATCATGCTCAATAAAGAGGAGGGAAGGAGGAAGGGGGTACGTTTGGAATGATGGAGTTTGTCTTCCCAAGTAACTGTTAACGTGTGATGGGGCTGCTCTCCTGGAGATGGCTGAATGCCTGCCTGCCCATGGGAAGTTGTGAATTAGTTCCTTCTTTTGCTTTGTGTGCATGGCTTTTGCTCTCTCTATTAAACTGCCTTTATTCAGCTCACAAGTTTTCTGGCTTTTACCCTTCCGATTCTCTCCCTGATCCTGCTGGTTAAGGAGTGAGCGATCAGATCAGCTGCGTGAGGCTTGGTGTCTGGCCGAGGTTAAACCACGACAATGCCTAATCGTAATAGATATTTCCACTGAGTATCTGCCCTAGCGCTGTTTGTACTGGCACGGTGCACAGAGCACTGTGAGCTGAGACACGTTCAGTGCACCATCAGCATTTCATCAGCAGCACCACCAGGGTTCCGATGCAGCCTCATGGCTTCAGAGGCTCGGCTTTGAAACACTCGGCTGAGGTCTGTGTGAGCAACAGAACAGTAGGTGCTGTTAAACGACACGCAGCGCGGGCCCTTTGCCCGCTCCATTGGAATTCCCAGCTCCGTTGGAATTCCCAACAATAAAACGCCGGGCCCGCCCCGGCACCGGCGGCGCGACGCTGCTGGGCAGGCGCGGGCGGCGCGACTTACGGCCGTGCCGTAAAGCGTCTGGGCCGGGCGCGATCGCCGCTGGCGCCCTTGGGAAGGGCGAGGCCATGAGCGGGAACGGGGGCACCAAGGCCCTGGAGCTGCTGCGCTCGCTGCCCAGGGTCTGCCTGGCCAACCTGAGGCCCAACCCCGGCTCCCGAAAGCGGGTGAGTGCCTGCAGCTTGGCGGGCGGCGCGCCCCACCCCGGTGCGGTTCGCCTCCGGGAATGTGGGAAGGACAGACAGATGGAGCGAAGTGGAAAGGCGAATGAGCGGGTGGCGCTGCTGTGTGTGCTGACCCTGCCCCAGCCCTTGCATGCCTTGTGTGTATGGCCATCCCCACAGGCTGATGAGCGGTGCTGGATAAACCTCGGGGCCGTCGCTGGGAACGGGTGGAAACAGTGAAAGGTCCTTAACACCACACTGCACGTGGGATGGGGTAATGCCTTTGGAAGGGGAAGGTTAGAAAGCTTACAGAGAAACGGAATGTGATGTCAGATGGCACTCTGGTTAATACTGCTTTCTCGAAAACAAGACTAAATGTTGACTTCCCTGTCTCCTTATAAAATCGTAGAGAAATGAAGAAAGGAAACCAGGAAGAAACCCTCCTGGTTTTGGAGGAATAGCAGTGAACAGGGGGATGAGGTTCAAGGGCTAAAACCATAGGAATGGAGAACTGACAGGGAGAACCAAGCAGCATGCTCCTGTAAGTGCTCAGGACTCCCTGGAGCTGCTAAATAGTAGAGAATTCAAGCGCAGTCTTGTGCTAGACTCAACCATCCCTGTTACCAAAAGAAACTGGCTTGTCCCCAGACTGTTTGTGGTGCCTGCCTAGAGCTGTGCTCTGCAAAAATCACATTAACTGCTTTTCCATTTTTCCCCTCAGAAAGGATCTATCTCTTCATTTTTCTCAAGAATCAACATTTTGTTCAGTTGTTTATATCTCTGAAATCTTACATTTGATAACTACTTCTCTCTGAAGTAGTTGACCAAATGTATCATTGATTGTTTTCTAGGAAAGAAGACGTGGCCGTGGAAGATATGGAGGTAGGAAGTGTGGCCGGGGTCACAAAGGAGAAAGACAAAGAGGAAATCGCCCCCGATTAGGCTTTGAGGGTGGTCAAACTCCGTTTTACCTGGTCATACCAAAATATGGGTTTAATGAGGGACATAGGTAAGTTTCCTCACATTTACTTTGAAATTAATCATTGTCTTCTTTTCTTGATCTTTCCCATGAAGCCAGAATTTAATATACCAGAGCAGGCCTAACTGAAAAGGCTGAGTTTTTATATCTGGTCTTGAAGACTTCTGTGCCCATACAATGTTGTCACAGGCAGTAGTAACAAAAAGATACCACATCTGTCCCACAGTTCAGTTTTGAAAAGGATAATGTGTATTTGTGAGTTGTTCAACTTGCAGTTTGATTTCATGTTCCATTTGCTGATATAATTTCATCAAATAACTGTGTATTTTTACATTTCAATTCCTTATGCATGCAGTAGAACTTGCTAGTAGAACCTGTCCTGGTATTTAAAGGTTTTCTCTGAGCTTAATAGTTTTGAAGTGTGATTCAAATTCTGTTTCCAGGTACTGTCATCTCCTCCTGTTTGGTTGGATTATTATAAAAGTAAACAATTATAAAAGTAAACACTTTCAGTAGCTGGACACAGAGTGTAGATCCACAGTCCTACAAAGGAAATGCTGCAGAATGCAGACATTGAGCTTCTTATGTTAGCAGTGGTCACAAATTCATGAATAACTAACTGCAAAAATTGAAGCTGCTGCAATGACAAGGAATTATAATCTTTCTGTTTTTAACCACATCGGACATCATGTGGAAACAAAAAAAGTACTCCATAGTTTCAGTGGTGTTTGCAAAATTTCAGTGTCAGGCTGTTGTAGATGTTTCTGTAGGGAACATGGCAACTGCACTCGAGAGATGCTGTTGGGGCACACTGAACAACGTTTCTGCCTGTTTACCTTCACCTCACTCCTCTCTCTGTCTGCAGTGGTCTTGCTTCACTTGTTGAGCTTTTGCTCTGTTAGGAGCTGTCTGACAGCATAAATTCTGTTGCTTACCTTTCTTGTGGAGCCTGGCAGTGACCGAGATGAGCCGCTTCCCAGTTTTTCCGCTGCCACTCACAGATTTCCAATGGCAGCAGTCAAACCAATTGTAGGAGAAAGTTTTGAGAACCAGCATAAGTGGTGTGCAGCAGGCATAGTCACCAGCACGGGGAGAACTGTTGTAGGGATTGATACATCTGGTAAAGTTGGAACTGAAGGAAACATAAAAGTAGGTTCTGCTGAAGCCGATGGCTATTGACAGGAGTTCCAGCTCCCTTTGGGGATATGGGTTAATTGCATATTTTCTCAATGTTTCTCTTCCTTGGTGGGGTTTTGAGGAAGGGTCCATTTAGTACTTCTGAAATGATGGGTACAGTGGTAATGGACTAAAAAATCTTGCTGGATATAAGCTATGCAGGAGCACATACGGTGTTTGGCTGATAGTCTTTGACTAAATTTGTGTGGGAAAAGAGGGGATGTTTGTTTTTTTGGCTGTCTATCATGAAGCTCTTAAGTTGGATTCACTTTGAAGCTGGGTAGTTATTTACAGTCTTGTTAGCTTATCAAGAAATGGTGGCACTTTAATTTCTTAGGACTTTTGCTTCCTTAGACCAGTCAGCAGACAGAGGTATTACTGAGTAAACTGAAGTTGGCAACAACAGAATGATGAATATCACATTGGAGATGGGAGTGTGTGAGCAAACCTGAAGGCACAGTGGAGTCTTGGATTGTAACTAGGGTTTGTATTTGCAGTAAATTAAAATTTTTACTTATAGATGGGAGTATTTTAAACATTTACTTGGTAGTTTGAGGAGTAGGTAGAAACGTACCAGTTGACCAGTTGCTATTAAAGCTTCATAACTGTACGTTTCTCATTGTTTTGTTTGAGTTGATTTTTGTTTTTTTTCTTCTCTCCCCAGCCTCAGACGTCAGTATCAACCACTCAGTCTTCAGAGGCTGCAGTACCTGATTGATTTGGGTAGAGTTGACCCCACACAACCAATTGACTTAACACAGCTCATCAATGCCAGAGGTGTAACAGTGCAACCTCTCAAGAGGGATTACGGTGTCCAGCTGGTGGAGGAGGTAGGCATTACAACACAGCTATTACTTCAGGCTTTCAAGTTTTCCACCCCAGGTTGTCAGATTGTCGTACCATGTTGTGGAAGCATCTTTGCTTTTCCGAATTAGTTTCCTGCGGAATTTTTGTGGATAATAAATCCACTAGAGGGCACTGTATGTCAGCAAAAAAAACACCAGGGGATTTCATTACCTGATATGCTGCAAAACAAGAGATAAGGAACATGTAACAAAAGGTTGAACAAGTATTTTACAACAGAAGACTAAAATCTACCAAAAGAAATGTATAAATATTTTGGAAAGGCAAAATTGTTTTCATTCAACCCAGGTGACTGAATGAGAGTAATTTGGTTACGCATCTTGGTGCAGGGAGCTGCAAATTCTAATATTTTGAAGGATTTAATGTTTCTTAAAACTTTTTAGAGAAGAATAAGTGTATGTCTTAAAATACTCATTTTGATTTTTGTCTAATATGTGTTGAAATTTACAGGGAGCTGATATTTTTTCAGCAAAAGTAAATATTGAAGTGCAGAGGGCATCTGAGTTAGCAATTGCAGCCATAGAAAAAAACGGAGGTGTTGTGACAACATCGTTCTATGACCCAAGGAGTTTGGGTAAGAATTTCTTTTAATTTCTGCCTTTTTTTTTTTTTTTTTCCCTCTTTGAGTGTGCAAAGATTAAATGATCCAAATCAAAGTTTCAAACACAGTTCTTAATAGAAAGTAATCATCATCTTCTTCTATTCTAAAAGTTGCAAAAACACAGAGTTGCACAAATATTTGTAGAATCACAGAATGGTTTGGATTGTGAAGGACCTTAAAGATCATCTAGTCCCAACCCCCAATAAATGGTAATGCATCCTCAAACTTGCTTTTTTAAACCATTCACCTGTTTAGTCCTTGCAGTGTTAGCAGTTCATTACCAATCAACCAGCTAAAGAAATCTGAGTAGCTTTGTAAACAGAAGAAGTAATAACATTGTTTCTCAGCTTTTTGTCTTCTGTTTCACATATCTGGTAACACTAAGAAAATTCAGGAAAAAATAGATTTAAAAACTGGTGTGGATACTTATAATTTTTAATTTAAAATGCTTTTCCAGTTAAAGTGAGGAAGTAAGTTACAGAGGCTCAGAATCGTTCCAGTTAGAATGGCTATTGTTTTCAGAACACTTTCACTGAAGAATGAGGCTTTGCTTTGCTTGAGGCTGCATCCTGCCTGACATTCATTCATGCAGTTTTTATTGACAATAATGGAGCTTTCATGTGTGAATGAGGCTGGGAAGAAGAGGAATAGACATTTTTAGTCTGCAAAATATCACCCTGGAGTGATACAAGTTCTTTTTATTTCCAATCCAGAAAATAAACAAAATAATGAGGTTAAAAGGTCCTGAAATATAATTTGCCAAAATCAGTAAAACTTGAGGAGGAGAGGACAGTAGGACTAAATAGGTACATGTGCATTTGATACTTTATTTAAAATACTTATAGAAGCACTACATTTGACACTTGTTGGTACAACGTGTAAATCACCATGCAAAAGCATTGCTTCAAACCTGGAAATAGTCCTTTAAGTAAATGGTAGCATCCAGATTAGTTTTGCTTACCTTTCTAAAGTAGGCATTCTTAATGTATTAGAAGTAATGACTCATCCAGATTGACACTGTAAGTACAAATTAAAACAGAGTTGTTTATTTGGTTTAAGTGAAACTCACAAATCACTGTCTCATTCTGAACAAGAATATTCTTGAGATTTGTTTTTTTGCTTGATACTTTTTAATAAGAGCTTAATAATCTATTTAGTACAAAATAAGGAGGTGTCATTCAATGTTTTTAAATACGTATTATAAAGTATAGTAACTAATTTTCTCTCGTGTTCGCCCACAGGAATTTTGTGTAAGCCAGTACTGTTTTTCCTGCGTGGCCAGCCTATTCCAAAGCGAATGCTTCCACCTGAAGACCTAGTCCGTTACTACACAGACGCCAGGAACCGGGGGTACCTGGCAGATCCATCTAAGGTCGCGGAAGCCAGGCTTGAGCTTGCCAAGAAATACGGCTACGTCTTACCAGACATAACCAAGGATGAACTGTTTAAGATGTTGAGCGCGCGCAAGGATCCTAGACAGATATTTTTTGGTCTTGCTCCAGGGTGGATTGTAAACCTGGCAGACAAGAAAATTCTAAAACCAACTGATGAGAGTCTGTTGGAATACTATAGCACATGAATTCAGGACTGGAGACAACTGCAGGTGTACAGGAAACATCTGGGTATGAAATAATGGATAGAAGTGGTGTGTTGTTTGTTTGTTTGTAAGACTTCTATTATACTAGACAAAACACAAATTTTTGTTCATGTAATCTTCTGTTGTAGCTCTCAGCTCTTTTATTGTCATAATACAGTGTATCAAAAGTCTTAAAATTGAAAGCAATACAGAGTCTGACATAAAGTGTGAGTTTGGGCACTTTCTCTTGTGATGGTTTACCGGTGTTTCTTTCAGACAGAAGGTTTTGATATTGCATTGGTTTCAGAGGATAATTCCAAAGTGTAGTTTGGCCTAATAATTAGTTTGTATTTCCCTCTTCAATTTAAAATTGGAAATATGTACAAAACTAATACTAGTTTTACAATAATATTGCATAAAATTATAAGTTTTAGGAAATGTATCTTGACTACCTCTCAGAGGCAAACCATCTGTTTTTGGTTGGGGAAAAATGAAAACAGCAAGAAATAACAAAGTTCAAAAGATTTCATTAACCTCTCCAACTCCATAGCTGTGTTTTGGATTTTGCCATCAATAGCATTAGAGCTTGAGAGGTCTTGACTTTTGTCCTATTTCTCCATACACAATTGAGAAAGACAGGGTGTGCAGTTTGAAGTAACTTTCTATCTAAACTTAGCAGGGGGAAAGATTGCTATCTTACATCAATGGCTTTTATTATTCAAACAGAATTTAAAACTTGTCCAGACAGAACTGTAATGTCAGTAATAAATTACCTAGGAGAATCCAGAGTCGGTGAATGACAGTGGCTGTAGATTATGAAGGATGGGGATGTGATGGACAAAGTACACAGTTAGGATTCAGTTTTCAGCTTGGTCACAGTTTGCATCTGTGACAGTGGACAAATGAATTTAAATGTTGTGAGAAGTTATGAACAAATTGTTTTTTATGAAAAGCAGTGTTTTGATCACACCAACTTGGTACAGTCTTGAACAATATTTTCCAACAAACATTTGTTCTATCCATCTCTCCAGAATATTGCATTGTTGCTATGCAAGAGTATTTTGGTTTTAATGCAGAAGCTTAGGTAGTATTGGGCATTTGGGATGATGAGCCAGGCAGCAAAGAAAGACGAGAGAGGAGACTGAGTTAATCTGTCAGAACTTGCTCTGATTCCTTGGAAGTTAATGAGCTGCTTCACAATTACGTGGTTTAGTGGAAGCTGAATTTGGCTTTAAAACAGGGATAATTTGGTTATTAGAATGCAGGAAACAGTCCAGGAGACTAGAACACGAGAAGTTGTCTTGCTTTCCAATTTTCACGTGCCTTTGCAAATGCTACTTAGAGTTTCCTGTAGCTGCCAAACCATCCTATTTCATAGAGGAAGTCCTCTATGTACCAGAATCTCCTGTTTCTCCCGTATAACACCTGTATTTTGCGGCGATGCCTCAGTGGGGGAGGATTTAAAAACAGTTTTCTTTTTCTTTCAGAGAATAAAAAGAAGCAGATGAATTTTTGTTGGTGTCTGTCAACCAGCCCAGATTTTTCCTTCACTCAACAACCTGCCTTGTCAATTAATATGAACATCTGTAATCACAAAACAAAATAAAACAAGTCTTCTATTCTCATTCTGATTAAATAACCTGAAATCAAGAGATTAAGAATAGAGAGTCATTAATTTTTGACAATTTGCTCTTCAACTTCTATTGTCCATTGTTAATGTGTGTTGGATGCTGTCAGTAATGGTCGTTCTCCTGACTTGTGGTTTAAGTGTAGTTGAAACAGAGCAAAACAACAGCAATATATAATTGGATTATGAATAGCAGGAATTTGATTTTAGTGGCATTAACATCCATATTTTATAAGGTGCCCAGCAGTTTTTTGGCACGTCAAGAATAATACTGTGTGCCAAAAAAAGTACAGTTGGTGTTAAGTTGAATGTGAAGTAAATAACTTTCTCACTTTAGATGTATCCTGTCCTGCATCCTGATGATTGTTTGGAACCTTAAATGACAAGCAATACTTTTTTTTTTTTTAAAACTTTTTTGAAACTTTTTTAAAACTTTTTTGTTATTACAATAACTTTACAATAACAATATTACTACTGCCTCCATTTGGGAAGGAGTTGGAGGGGGGAAGAGTATTTATTGCCTTCCCTTATTTGTGCCATAATGTTTCTGTTTTTATGAATCAATTCACAATTGTATTTTGTGGAGGTGGTGGTACTCAACAGGAAAGCTGCTTAACTGGAAGTGAAGAAGGAAGTTAGTCATATTAGTGAAGACCAGAAGACAAAAGTGTTTATGTATCATTGTGTATTTTGGGGAGGAGAAGACTGGGGAAAGGCAAGTTTGTTTCCATTCCTGCTCTTTGTATTAAAATGAACAAATTGCTCTCAGCAATTTTTTTTCTAAGTCAACTTCTCTGATACACACACGCGTGCACGCGCTGGTTTCTCTGGGTCTCTAAATGGTTTTCAGGTGAAAGGGTAACTTGGATAAAATGATAACAGTGAAAGAAAGAATGAAAACAGGAAACAGATGTCTGGTGACGTCGAGGGATTGGATAGCACTTATTCAGTGAACGATGTCTTAGTCACAAGGCAGCTGTATCCTGGCTCTGATACTATAACGCTACAAATACCTTGGAGCCAAAACAGCCACGTTCCACCAAATCCGGTCATTCTACTTCATAAAGGTGATCTTTTATCATCTTATAATTGGAGAGGGCAAAAAAGGGCTGTATGTTCCTTTATTTAAAATACGCAATGCTTGTCTTTTTTTCTCACTTCTGTTTACAGTAGCCGGTATTTCATATCAGTTGTTTGGATTTTTATTTACTAGTGAAAAAAGTGACAAGGCTATAGAGGATTTCCTGTTCTTTTTATCTCATCGGGAACAAAAGTCTCCTAGCAACTGAATACAGAATTATCAAAAGCACAAGTAGGTTATTGACAAGGTTTCTAATAAATCCATCACAAACAGCCTTCCGATGGACTGTTGTTTATATGAGGGTCAGGCTCACTGGTGCAAGACTCTTAAGCCAACACTGGCATCTAAAGCCGTTCTCTTTACTTAGCAATATGGACTATGTTTTCATGTTTGCAAGATAAATGATTGCCTTGGATATCCTGTTTTGATAGGGGTTTTTCATGTGCAACAGTATGTTACACAGCAAGAAGCACCCAATCTGCTGTAGCCGGAAAAGCATTATCAGGTAGCTGAGGAAAAGAAACTTATTTGTGTCACTGAGTGCTGAAAGCTGTGTCAATTTTTATCAGCAACATCATACTTTGAAACGGTTCCTTGATAAAACCAATTACCTATGTTCAACTGCAATCAGAATAAAGGCCTCCAAACAAGTACGTGCCTTGTTTTATACTGTGATAATTAGAAATCACCCATTTCTTAGGAGAGAAACTCTACCACCTGCAGCCAGTCAATACTGTAATTACAGGTGGCTGACTGCAGACTCAGAGTAAATTAAAATATATATATGTGTTTTCCCTTTTGCTCATATGTGCAGTAATGACATGCTGGCTTCATTGTACTTTATGTTTAGCAATCAAAAGTTGACTCTACCATCCACTGATTTCCAAAAAAGAATAAATTAATAAATCAGTGGCCCTGCTCTGAATCTTCACTGGCAGTGTGCCAACATTGTTTTGACATAGAAGCATAATTGATGTTGGTGCTCCAGGAAGTCATATAAAGGTGATCAATTATGAAGATAGCTTCCCATTACAATTTTATTATTTTCTATTATTCTGTTATTTCTCTTTTCTATTATTTTCTATATTAAAATTTTAAATGCTAAAGCAAAATGAATTTTGCACTGTTGAACATCACAAGTTCTCTAAATAATTTGAAATAGTTGCACAAGTCCCATATTTTAAATATTTGTTACATTTACGTATCTCTGAAATAAGAAAGATATTCTGTCTATTCAAAATGTCCAGTTTAATATTCCATATGCAGCTTTATTTTTAAAAATTTTCTGGTATTTGACCAGATGGGACTAGTTTTACATAACTCACAGTCTGTACTTCTGTTTATTGTTATGGTTTAGTCTATGAAAAGATGTAGTTAGAGGTCCAAAGTTCTTGCCTATTAGAGGAAAATTATTCACTTTTTAAGCTCCTTTATCTCCCAGCCCAGGTGACTCATCTTGGTCTTTTTTAACAGAAATATATGGCATTGTCTAAAGAAGTGTGGTTTCTCAATGGAAGCAAGCTGTCCTCACATCTATTCTGTCTGCTCTGCTTAATATTACCTCTCATGCATCTGCATCTTCCCAAGGTCCCTTCTCACCTCTCCTGTTGTAGTGGTGGGAACTACAGGGCTTGATCATTCTCACAGTGTCATCCTGTCTGGCCCACTCTGGGTTTGAAAATCTGGTTGTTTTATGTGCCTCTGGAGCAGGAAAAGTGTTGATCATTCCTGCATCTGTTTATATGAGAGGGTTTTTCGTGGCTCGCGTTTCCTGGACTGGTGTTGCTTTTGTTGTTAAAAATGTCAACAGCAATGTTGTTTACTCGTTAACCTTGTAGATTCCAAGACACATGCAGAGCAGCTTGGAGGGCCCTTTGAGCAATGGATTTAGCATTTGTCAGAGTCACTGAACACTCCTAGAAGAGTGCCTCTGCACTTAATTCAGAATTGCACAATAGATACAAATCTGAACAGATGAGCAATTTTACATTCAATGCACCAATGCCCAAATCAGCCTCTCCTTGTACTTTTCTCCAGCCTCTGTAAGAGTCATTCTGTCTCCTGGTAGGATTGTCCTATCTGTGCTTTAATCTATTAATAAGGACAGGTTAGTCCATATTTACCCTGAAAGCCTGCTGTTTCTTGATGTTAATATTTTTATTGCTATTCCTTGGGCAGATAATGACAGCCAGAAGTTTGTGGACGTAGAGCAGTCTATGAGTAATAAGTTGATGTGTAAACTAGTTCTCTAGGGATTTTTGTAAGGCTGATGTAGCTTGCTCCCAGTGTGCAGTACCTTAAGAAAATAAATTCATTTGATATCTGACGAGGGAGATGCTTTTTTTTCTGTGTTCAGAGCTTTGAAAATTGGAACCCAAGTTCCCTATAAAGTTAGTATAGTGAGGTATTGCCTTAATTTCAAAATTAATACTAGTCTAAGTTTACATTGTTCCCATGTAGACAGTAGCTTAAGCTCCTTTTATAGGCAGTAGTAATGTGATTGATCCAGTCAGTGGAGCCTGGAGAATCACTGCGCTTCGCTTGGAGCAGACATCCGAGCAATTGTATTACATGCTGGGCTCCACTGACTGTGACCGTAGTTGTCACATACAGCACTTTTGCATGCACCCAAAACTCAAGCATCTGGAGCTGAATCCCACTCTGTGTTTTCAGTGACCCAAGATGTTTGAGGTTAATGGGTGGAAGTTCTCCTCAGGATCCACATACACCGAGGAAATTGTGAAGCCTGATGTATTAGGTTGTATTTGTCTTTGAAAAAAAGGATGATTTTTTAAATTATTTAATAAAAACCCACACAGGTTAGAGGATGTTGGTGCCATGAGAGGTGAGATGCTGGCAATCAGACTGTTGTTTTACCACTATTGGAGACAGCAGCTTTTCTAGGAAATAGAAATTGATGACATCCCCACCCTCTGACTTTCAAGGTGGGTGACTCCCAGTTTCCAGACCTGCACTGATATTGGCACTCAAAATTTGCCTGCCTACCTTCTTTGGCCCTTGTGTAATACATGGCTGATGTTTGTGCTAGTTCTAATGTATATGTTTCCTCTGTAAGGGAAAATGGAAATTAAACTCATCTCCATTTGCAAAAGAAAAAATGGAAGAGGAGAATGGTGCCTCAAGTTGTCTGCTTCAGCAAGTGGTGCTGCTAATGGTTAGAGGAGGTGACTGGGATGTTTAAACACAGATATTGTGTCATTGCTATTTGAGAAGATGCAGTCCGGTGTGTCTCATAGGCTACCCTGTACAACTACTGTGTGGCTTGTAGTGTTTGTGTACAACTTCTGCAGATTTGAACTTGTCATTTCTCGGGTTTTCAATGGTTTCTGGGTCCCTGAAACCTCATAGGTGTGCTTGCTTTTTGTGCACAGGCAATCATTTATCCCCTCTTTTTCTTTTTTCTTCTTTTTTTCTTGGCAAGCCAATCGCACTAATCACAGCAGGCAGTCTGGGTATGGGTCGTGTACGAGGCTTGAGACTGTTCCAGGCAAAATATTATTCTACTGGTTTTATGTTGGACTTGGCTGATGTGGCATTGCTGCCACCCTGACTGCTAGGTAAAATGTCTGGGCTAATTGTGACTTTGTTGTTGGGGTTTGTTGTTACTGTTGGTTTTGGAAGGCTTCAGTCCTTCCAGGTTCATCATTAAAGACAGGTGTTTACTATGGAATGATCATAAAATTAATTACCATAGCAAGGATGTGATCATGTTTCAAAATTCTACCTGGGTCAGTTTTTCTACACTCGTTTGTATGTATCTGAGGGGATTGAAGCACTGGGATGCTTTCATTTTGTCTTTGATGTGGGAAAGCTGATCTGTCCTTTAAGAGAACCTAAGGTGAAAATGGAAGATAAGAAGCTGTCGAGTCATTTTTGCTGCATCCTGTGAAAAGTGCATGTTTTCCCGATTCCAACTGTTGCTCTTGGCTGAGTTAGATGACTTTGCTTACAGCCTATTGGAAATGGCAATGGCAGCAGACCACCATGAGCACTGACACACAGCTATGGTACTGTTGCTGGCCTGAGCAAAAGAAAAGATAGTCTTGCTGACTTGGGAACATGAGAATCAATGTATGAAAGTCTGAGGAGATTCCAAAATCAGAAACATGCATATTCTTAAAATGCCACTGAAACTCTGTTGCATGTTTAATTACTCTTTGCTTTTGCTGACTGTAGTGTTATGAACTGTAAGCATTCAAGAAGTTATTTAAAGAACACATTTTAGGTTTTCTTTGTTGTCCTTAGAGTTTTCAGCCCTGCAGGGATCTAGTTTCCAAGCATTGTTCCTGTATCCAGCAAGGCTAGAAGCAAATTTAAGAAGTGGGAGCCAGCATTTTCATGTGATGGCATTATTCCAGGAACTGGTGCTTTAGGAATAACAGTAAATATTGTGAGGCTTGCAAAACAGTTACTGATTCATTGCTTATACCCTACTGGCTTTTGCATTGTCTGTGAGCATAACTCCTCTGCTGTTCTCTGCAGTTGACCTCACACACCTCCTCAGCATGAAAGAAACTTGTCGTTGTTTCCAGCATCCAAATCTGAGGGTGACAAATACGGTATTACCAGGTACATAAGCATCCCGCACAAATATCCTCCTCCTCTGCTCCTCTCTTCTAATTCCAAGACTGCTACGGTCATTTGTAGTGCTGAGAGTTGTGTCTGCTTACTGGGGACGGGGAGAAGGTCTGGTGTCCTTCTGGTACAGGCAAGGCTGACACCTAGTGACCAGACACATCTATTCCTATGGGAATTCACTGAATTCTAGTTCAGTCACTATTCAGTCTTAGAATTTTAAGTCCGGAAGGCTTAAACTGAAGTGTTCAAAGTGAATAGTTAGTTTATTTCATCATCACTTTTGGCCTTGTTTTCATTATTTCTAGTGTACTCTTCTAAAGGTGGGGTTCAGGTACCTTGCAAGCTCATTCACAGTTTATGTTGGAGCTTAATGAAGGTTTTACACAAAGTTTCCTGGGAGTTGGGCATAACAGCTGCTCTGAGCAAACTGAGGAGGCTGGTAGCAATCAACAGTAAGTTCAGAATATGGTCCTTTTGTGGTTTTTCCTTAATAAAATCACAGCTGATCATGGTGTTGGTATTATTTTTTTGCTCACTCTCTGTTAAAGAATCCAAAATCAAATATAATTGGATATTCTCTGAGTTGCAGAATTTTCTCTCTACAGTTCTCTGCTGACCAGAGGTAGCATCTTAAAATGATGCTGTCCTGGAAAGCACTACCTCTTTCATCATCATTGCAGATCCTGCTGGAAATGCTCTGAGTTCTAGGCCTTAGCAAACTGTACACCAAAGAGGAAGAGTAAAACTTAGCTAAAGTTTTCCTTAGCTAAGGGTTCTTCCAGAACACTTCTGCCTTTTCTTTAGTTATGTTGATTAACATTTCAAGAGTATAACATATTTCTCAGAATTGTCTGGGACCTTTATCAAAAGCAGTAACCATATAAATTTAGGGAAACAGCCCCTCCAGTGTGAATCAAGCAGTCATCTCCTTGCAAGTCCAAGTGCTGACTCCAAAAGTAGACTTCAGAGGTTCCCCATTATAATAGGTTTCATATAAAACCCTAAAAAAGGCTTCTTGGAGCAGTCCTTGCAACTGGAGGAATTTTTCATCT